GATCAGAATGAATTGGCTACTAACGAATTAGTTTTATTAGCGAATAATTTTGGTTTAGTGATTTAAGAAAAACGTTTTATTTAGTCGAAACTAATTTATTAACTTATTTCTAAGTTAATTTTTATTATGAAACTTTTAGACAAAGTTATCACAAAGTTATTTTACAAGCAAGTCGAATTTGAGCTCCTTTTATATAATTAAATTAATTAATAACAACTTCATTGCAATCTAACGTTCTAGCTGCGATATCGCATTTTAATTGCGGCGTAACATTCTAACCGTGACGCTAATTTTGACGCTATACGAATAAAAATAAAAATGTAATACAGATAAAATAATAAAATGTAAATAAATATGAATAAAAATAAAATAAGAAATAAAATATAAGGAATAAATAGATGTAGATATAAAAATAAAGTAAAATAAAGTAAAAATAGAAATAAAAGATTTGATTCGGAATTAGGGTATTTCGACTAACAATTTAGCATTAAATCCTAATTCTGGTAACAATATTATATGTTAATAAACAACTATATAGTTTCGACTTACTGGAAATGATTTATTAAATAACAGGGTCCAATTATAAAACCTCATTTTATCTTTAAAAATTAGAAATGGCATAAATCTTTGGCATGAACTCATCATTTAAACAAACAAAATTTATCCTTGAAAAAAAAAAATTTTTAGATGGAATTCACAATATTTCCCTTTGAAAAATTTCTAAAAAATAATTTACTATGCATTATAAAAAACTCGGAACGTTTTATTTCATCAAATGGGGCATGCTACAACAAAACCAGACAAAGTGGACATTGGTAGCATGGTGGAATTTCTCTTTATCACATTTATCACTTTGTGACGATCTCAAATTTATGTAGTGTGACTATATAATTTTAAAGTACTTCGTATAATAAAAATGTGTTTTACAATTGCGAATTTCTTGTTTTTGTATTACAATGTATATAAAAAATAATTCTTTCGTATATTAATATAAAGAAGATTGCCTGGTTAAAATTTAATCTCGATAACATAAGTATTCATAAAGTTTTAATATAAGCAACCAAAATTATATGATGTTTTTTAGCTAATTTACATTATCTTTAACAAAACAATTTTTCTATTAGGATATTAAAAGTAATTATATTATTAGATGCAACATATTGAGAAGGTTATTCAGTTGAAATTTAATCTCGATAACGCAAGTATTAGTGAAGGTTTAATATAAAAGTATTT